TTAAATTACACAAGAATTTCTATATATATATATATATAAGTAAGTGAATATCTGTGAAAAGCTATCTATTTGCTTCCATATCGTTTGTGTCTTGCTGGAAAAACAACCTTTTTCCTAGTCCCCATATTTTTGTTGAAAGTATGTGTGCACACGCAGAAAGATAAAATAAGTCATAAAGAAAATATCTCAGTTGTTATATTATAAATAAATTCGAAGGGGTGGAACATCGTAATGAAAAAATATCCTTCTACACTTAATTTATACTCACAAAACAAAATATACTTCCAGCAAGATATAAGGAAAAATATAGAGTTTATTTTACTTTATAAAAATTACTAAAATAAAGTCCATATTTTTCTTTATATCTTGATGGAAGTATGTTTTGTTTTAATTATTTTGTTTTGTTTTGTTTCATGTATAATAATAATTATTATTATTATGTAATATGTTTACGAGGTGTATTATATTTTGAATTATTTATTTATATTAGAATTTTAAATATATTTATATAAAAATTTTTAAAGTTTATTTTAAAGATATCGATATGTATATAAATTCACAAAGGAATAATATATAGTACTAGATTTTTTTAAGGAGTGAGTCTTCATCCCTTGAGAGACTCAACCTTATTCTTGAGTAACGTCACGGTCCACTAAAAAAGGCTGGAAAAAAATAAATAAATAAAAACTAAAAAGTTTTAAGTCATTGCTTTATGGGGATAAGAAACCAAAAAAAAAATATTAGAAAATATCCTTTTATTTATAATATAAAATTCATATTATAATATCTTCTAGAGTGGCCAATTAAATAATTTCTAGTGTTTATGAATTATCTACAGCAATAATATTGCTTTATTATAATATTTTTACATACATAGGGTGGACCAAAAATCACTTAACCGAAATATAAATGTTTTACAGGTTATTTTAAGAACACCCGGTTTTAACTGTACTCGAATCTAGGTTAAATAACTTTTGGGCAATCCTGTATGTATTATTTTACGTTACGAAACCTTACCTTACAGGATTTAAGATACATTCGAGAGGTTTAAAGATCAAATTAAAACGAGAAATTAATAAATAATATTATTAATTTCAACTAGAAATAGTTCTTTATTTGTATATATAAGTAAATAAAAATCGAAATTTGGGCATAGAAAAGAAGTTATCGAAATAAATTAAGAGGAATATGTAAATGAAAAGGTATCGAGACATAAAAAAAAGGCAATTCAATTGTTTATAATGATTTCTTGCATACAATTTTGGGGAAGGGAATTTTTTAGAAGGGGGGTGAAAGCAGAGAAGGAAGGGGGGAAGTACAGAGAATCTGAGACGAGTTATTGCGAGTAGAAAGCATTTCTCACTAAGCAGTAGGGAATTGGAAAAGAGATAGAGAATTAATAATTTATTGAAAGAACAGAGATATTCTTTGAGAAATGAAAGAAGAACGATTTCATTAACTCTGTTCCAGCAACGATCATTTATATTTCATGAAAAAGACGAACCGTCTTCCAACAAGCTTTTACTGTTTTCTGATCAACAGTATCTTTCCGATGAAAGCACTCCTCGATGAAATATTTGTCTTTGACTACTACTAAAATATTCGATTTGGTTTCATCTTGATTACGACAACTTTTCTTAAGTTTAAATTTTATTAAATATAAACTCAATTTAAAAAAAAAATAATAATATATTTTATTTTAATTTCTATACACACGCACGAAATTCTATCTGACGTATAAAATTTATTAATATTTATTTATATATAAAGCATAGAATTTAATCGGATTGCAATTTTTAAAAAAGTCACACGATTTGAATTTAAAAAAAATTCTCCAGAACGGAGTTACATAGATGACCGGCATCACTCTGTTGTTATCAGGAAAAGTATGATGTACAGGGGTAATGTACTAACTTGAGATCGAGAGCATATATTTTAAATTAAATTATAACACGGCATTATGACGATGTCATAGTAATTTCTACTAGTTAATTAGTAAGATAATTTAGCGTATTTTGTATACATTTATTAACTTTTTTATTATGTAAATAAGATTCTTGCGTAAGCCAATGTATGAATATTATATTTTACGGCATCATTCCCAATACAGTAAAAGAATGTTTGAGATAAAATAATGTCAAAAATGTTGATGTTGGACTCATAAAATATTTGCACGGATTTTTGCAAATAAAAAAAAAACAGAAGAAATAAGAAAATTGTGTTCTATAGTATTTGTTTGTAAGGAAAGGGAAAAAATTTATCAGAAACCAGAGATACTCAGGAAGGGTTTTCTATTTATTGCCGAAAATAAAACCTTTCTTGGAAAATGTAAATACGTCTACCTTTCTTCTAGAAAGAGAGGGAGAAGTAACCATAGTGTGAAGAATGTCATTGTGCCAAGCGAATGGTTTGCAACCAAACACTGTGCAAGATTTAGAAAATACGACGAGTATTTATTTGGAATATACAAAGAATAGTCTGTAGCTTGGATAGAAACCACATTAAAGAATTGAATTATAA